AAAGTTGGTAATATTCTTCCTGTTCAAGATTGAGAATCATTCTACTAATGTTCTGGAACAAAGAAATCCATTTAAAAACTATTTCAGAAAATACTCAATGACTCGAAATGGGCAATCATTCATCATTTAGGAATTATAAAAATCAGTATCTGAAAGTATAGTAGCTTATGTTTTTGTTTTGAGAAGTTTTAGATATTATGTTATGGCTGCAAAATCACGGACTGCATGAGGTTATATTTTGATTTGGACATATGAACATTTTCAATTTCATTTGTACATAAAAGACTTGTTCCTTTCAGGTGCAATGCCATCCAAAAGCTTTTACCTTAATCAGAGATTTATGTTTTTAGCTTAAACATAAACTTAGAATATAATAGTAAGTTGAATTAACCAGTGTTCAAAATGCATATTAATTGTTTGATTGCATTCTATTAAATCAGAGGTCTTCAAACTTGGCAGCTTTAAGACTTGTGGCCTTCAGTTGAAGTTTGTGGCCAAGTTTGAAGACCTCTGCATTAAGTCATTCTTAACTTTACATATCTTTTTCAAGGCCTTCATGGCTGCTCTACCCAATGCCAAACAGAACCTACCCAATGCTATGTTATCTTCATTGCCAATTCTAAGACTGCTTATTCTACCTATTGTCATTATTTATATTATTATATTAATGTCTTCTTTATATTTAATTTTAATTCATTTTTTTTCACTTCCAGTACTAGGGTTTACAGATCCTTTGGATTTTCTGCTAATATGGTAATATCATCAGCATAAAATAGGTTATTGATGTCTCTTCCTCCAATTTTAAAACCACATTCATCTTCTTCCAATCTAGCATCACTTAATAAATGTTAAATATACACTATACGTTTCATAAAAATGGGGAGAGTACAAAGTGTGGCTGCACCTCAAGAACCTTACTAATCTCATAAGTAGGACTTTAATATCTAGGCTCTGAGTGGATTACATTAGAATAAAAATTTATAAAGAACTATCGCCTTCCTATCATTTAATGATTATTTGGATTATTATAGCTCAGTTATAGGTGAGTAATACATACCTACCTACATACATACATATATATAAAATTTGGGATTGTCTATCATTTGTTAATTTTAATGTGCTTATGGTATATTTTGAAAGCTTATTTGAAGCTCAGGAGAAAAATACATTCAATTAAAACACCATGTATGTATCTGAATGTATGGAAAACATTTGATTAAATCCTGCTTAAAATGTATAATAGTACTTTAGCTTTGTCAGCATTATTACTACTAAAGTTAAGTCTAATCTTTCAGAAGACCATTCTAAGTGACATGCTAAATCATTAAAAAAACACTCTTAGTATTTCTGAAAGTTGATTTCTCCAATTAGTGTTGAGTCAGGGAAAAATTTTCTATGGTACATTTGAGCCTTCAGGAGAATCTAAGTCAAGCTGTAAACCTTCACCAGAGGGAGGTGACATCACTTCTACAGAATCTTCTGTGGAGGAAAGGATCGAAAAAGTATGCACAGAAAATGTAGTTTTCAAGACTATTTAAATCAGGGGTGTCAAACTTGCGGCCTGTGAGCCGGATGTGTTCCTGCGCTGGCCACGCCCACCCCCAGTTTAGCAAAGAGGAAAAAAGCCTTGTTATGTCACGTGACGTGATGCCACAAGTTTGACACCCCTGATTTAAATCTCTTTGGTAACAGTCATCAAAGTTATATGCTGAGCCAAAGTTACATGCTATAGCTTGTGAATTTAAATCAAATGTGTGGTTGAAATTAACCAGAGGTTTCCTTTATTTTAAGAGTGAAGGATACCACATAGCAGCATTAGAATTGTGGTATTAAATATTTAAACTTAATTTTAGTGAAATATCTGTTAAAACAGTTCTTTTTTCCATTGCCTTCAATGGATGGAAAGAAAAATATCCTGATCTTTTTTACTAACTCTTTGGGAGAAAATTAATTTGTGACCTGTCTTCTGCAGATGTAATTGAACAATCACCAGTCTGAATTGTATGTTTCCTAATTGTAATTAATTATTCTATCACCGAGAGCGGATATGCTTCTTAGTTCTTCAAGTGTCCTTGCCAGGCTGGAACTTCAATTTCCCTCTCACCAACAAGTTTCAGTGAACTAGAACTGGCACTCAAGAAAAAAATACGCATACACATACACCCCCACTGGAAGTCTGAAAAACCTTTGAGAAACCTTGACAAGCTTGCATGGGAAAGGAGCATGAACGACATTTAATAGGAAACTGATTTAGGAAATTCAAGCTGATGTGTGAATGTGACTGATAAGAGGACAGAGTTGCAAAACAAGGTCAATGGTGGCTTAAAATAGCCCACGGGAAATTTACAGAGCAGTAACCTTTGTTATGGATGCTTGAGTGCTTTGTCTGTATCAATTACACAGATTTCCAATGCAAGTAAACTGAGCCCACTAATCTCATTTGCCAGATTTGCCAAATTACAAATTCCTTGCTATTTGGAATAATATTAAAGAATAATGCAGGAAGATGTGTTATTGCCTGTGTCAGGCTGTTTGATTGTTGTGACAGTTGATGTTTTTTCTTTTGAATATTAAGATCTTGTTTATTATTTTAAAGCTTCCTTATAGGACAATTATTTTTCTAAACTCCCTTTTTATTGTTAGTCTTACTGTGTTCTCAATGTTTTCAGGATCTGATCTATGCTTATTTCTTAAACCATCAAGGAATAGATGTTTTGAGAATGGAATGTTCAAAGGCTTTGTAATTCTGAAGGATCCAATACATTTGGGATAGCAGATTGACAAAGGTTGATATATAATAACTATAAAGTAGAATACCAGTATTCACGTGATATGATTCCACAACAAATTGAAATCTGTGTTTACAATGAACGGGTGCTTTCTTTTGAGATCTTCAAAAAGCTAATAGGAAATTCAGTAATTTTTATCACAAACAGGTTAACTTCTTCTACCAACCTGGGTGCAGAATGTTTATTTTATTTATTTATTTGCCTCCATCTTGCAGTTCAAGGTGACAATATTGCAAATTAACAGTGTTATTATCTATTCAATTAGTAATATGATTCTATTATGGTTATAAAATGGCTGTCAAAATAGGAAGAGGTTAACAAGTAAGCAACTTATCTCCATTCTTATTTTTCTTGATTACATGACTATGCATTTGTAAATAGCATAACCAAAGCTGTAATTTTGACCAATGATGCATATATCTAAATAATCTAAACTAATAAAATTTGGTTCACAGACCTAACTGAGAGAGGTGAGAATTGTATCAAGTTAGACAATTAGTTAACCAAATACTTAGTATATGTTATTCCTGATCCACACAACATTCTAAAGAATTAATAGTTTCTATAGCTTGCATAACCTGGCTGAAACATAGATAACACTAGTTAAAACTCTCATCTGCATAGCTTCAGGAAAGTGGCATACAAAAAAACATATTCCAGTAACTAGGGCAAATTGTTTTTTGTGGGAAATTGTCAGCCTAAAAGCATCACTGAGATAAAACAGGCATTGTTGTAACTTTCAACTAGAGAGCACTTCATACCTCTGATGAAAGGGACTTCTGTTCACAAAAGCTTTGTTACTTTTGATGGAGCCAACATATTTTTATGAATATTGTATAATATTTGCACATTGTTTTCATGTGTGGATTGATTGATTGATTACAATAGTAACAGAATGCAGGGCAAGAGTCAGATGCAAAGGCCCCCAGAATATACACATAGATTAATCAGTCTATATCTTGATTTCCATTGCCTTGTTCTGCCCTCTGCACTGGCTGAAATGAGTCAGAGTTAGAAGGAGGAGATATATTCTGAACAATATCTTGAGGCAGGCATCAGAAATAAGGTACATATTGTCAGGTATAAATGCCCTACCCATGCCTAGGGTCAGCTACAGTTCAGTAGTGCAGGGGTTAACCCAGACACCCACCTGGTCAGCTCCTCCCATAGACCCCTCCTTACCTGAATCCCCGCCCACAGGTATAAAAGGTGGGCACACTCCTCCATGTTGTTTAGTTCCAGATGTAACCAGTGATGATGTGCAGAACCTGTAAATAAAAGAGATATATTTAACCTGATGTCTCAAGTCTCTTCATTGGGCCTGATCCATCAATCCTCGTAACAAAATGGTAGCAGAGGATGGTTGGTAAGACCCAGAGACACCAAACCACAAGACAAGGACCCATACCTACCTACGGAATGGCGACACCTCCGAAGCAACGGGAAAGCAACCTATCGGACTCGCCAGGGAAGGTAGGAACCCCAACCACGCCCAAAACCACCGCGATGGAAGAAAAGGGGGAGATCGAGAAAGGGAAAAGGACTCACCACGACGACCAAGAAGAAGAAAAGCTGAGACTCGACGTCCTGCAGCTGTTGGAGGAGCAAGCCGGCGACAAGAACCTCCTTGCCGACCTGTGGAGCTTCATAATCGACCGCGAGGTGGCAAGGAGCGAAGGAGACTCGGACTCCGAACTCGAGGAGCTGGACTCGGTGAGTGGATCGCCCAAAAGGGCACCCCCAACGGCCACCGAGCCCCGAAGCCCCGCTCAAAATTTTAAACGGCGGCCATCTTTGTCCACGTGGCCGGACAAGATGGCCGACCCCCAACCAATCAGCAGCCAGAATTCAAAATGGCCGGCGCGCGAAAAATGCCGGACCATAAACCATGAAGAAAGTGACCGGGGAGAGGGGACAGAATCAGACTCAGACCCCTGGTACACCCCCAGTGAGCGGCAAGTCGATAGGGCCATGAAGACCCTTGCTGCCGCCTTCGGCCCAGGCCTCAAAATCACAAAAGAGGAACCGGAGAGGCCAAAACAGAAAGGAAGGCGAGGAGAGGGACAACGAAGCACCCTCCCGAGAGCCACCGACGCCCATGCCAGCCCGCCAGCCCGCCTACGCACCCCAGGGACACCGCGCCTCCGATCGCCCAGGCCGCACACCCCGGACCGCATGGACTGGGGCAGCTACTTACAGCCATCGCCGGAGCCTCAGCACCGCCAGGATCTTCATTCCGGAGAAGCAGCTGCTGGACGACGCCTTCCGGAGCACACCTGGACCCCCAAGACCGAAGCCGAGGCCTACCCGACCGATAGAGGCCTCTACAGCGGAGCCGCGACGAACAGGTCCTTCCTCGGCGACGGCGGAGCTGAAATGGACTTCGCGCATGCGCTCTTCCGCCTAGAAGAAGAAAAGAGAAAAAAATTACAAAGCGGGACTTTTAAACTACCGGCAAGCGTTCCCATGCCTTACTGCTGCTATAGGCACATAAGGAACCATGGACAGCAGCCAGCAGTAAGTAACTTTACAAATAGTGCTGGGAACTTACCAGTAGACTTTCCCAAGTTGAGGATGGATGGGGGCAATATCCTAGAGTGGTCACAGCAGCTCCAGGTGGTGTTCCTGAAAGAAAACATGTCTCATTTTATTAATGACCCCTCAGAAAGGCCATGGACTTTAGAGCTGGATTGCATGCACCATAGGGCATTCTATCTTTTAATTGCCAGCATATCCCCCACAATTTACCACTGTATTGGCCATAACCTCACAGTATCAGAAATTATAGGGAAAATGTTTCGGTTGTTCTATAGTGAGAGTGTGTCCACCACCACACAAATTTCCAAAGACTTCTTCTCTGCCAGACTTAAGCCAGGGACCCCCATGAGTGAGCACCTAGTGTCCTTAAGCGGTACCAGAGCAGAGCTACACCTTAGGGGAGAAGTTATTTCCGACCAGATCATGAAGAGCGTAATAATTAACTCTTTAGATCACTCATGGAATAACTTTCTAACACACTTAGACACCGTTAGTCTGGGAATGCTATCCGTGGAGAAGCTATCCAACAAGTTGATCGCGGCGGATAACCTGAGGAGAAGCCGCCCCGGCCCTCCCAGAGAACATAAGAGTGAGAAGAAAGTAGCCTTTCAAGAGAAACAGCACAACACGCCAGAGTGCTACATCTGTGGGTCGAGGGGACACATCAAAAGGGACTGCCCCAAGAACTATAGGGAGAGGGGCAGGCCAGAGCATAGGTACAGACAAACGGAAAGACACACATCTGAAGAAAGATATAGGTGCAGGGACTCACCCAACCCCAGGGACAGGAGAGGGAACAGAGATAGCTCGCGCGACAGCAGGACAGGATCCTTATACGGGATAGGGGAGCACGCACACACCACACATCAAGACATAGGCACCAGCTCATGGCTCCTAGACTCAGGAGCCTCCAACCACACCACCTACAATCAGAAACTACTCTCATCATTTAAGAGGGAGGATTTTTCGATCAAAGTTGCGGACCAAAACCAGGTTAGAGTGACAGGCAAGGGGACAGTCACTTTGCCAGGCATAGGGGAAGTAGAGGGGGTACTGCTAGTCCCGGAGATACCCCACAACATCCTAGCCGCAGTAAAGCTCAGCAAGGAATCAGGGGTTGAGGTGACTTTTACCAAAGGTAATGTCAAAGTTAGCAAGGAAGGGGAAGATATAGGGAGAGTAACCGTCAACCAAGGGTTACCTTACATAACTTTCTGCAAGAAAGACACCCACAGCATATATACCAGCTCAGAGATCACAGAGGACACTGACCAGGACAGGACTGAGGGGAAACAGGTAGACAGGAGAGAGGTAGATAACGATAGTAACACGACACAAGGAACACAACACAACAGACACACACAGAGGGGCCCATCAATAGGCAAACCCATACATGACGACTGTGCTCACCTGCTACACCGGAAGCTAGGGCACGTCAGTTTTCCCGTGGTCCAGAAAATGGCCAACTGTACCGAGGGTACCAAAATAAAAAACTGTGAAAACTACCTCGAGTGCTCGGTGTGCAAGTGTTCTAAATTAAAGGTAAAACCCAGACCCAAGAAGTCGTTACGTGCTGCCAAACAAATATTCAACTTAGTACACATGGACCTGGTAGGGCCCCTAAGGCCATCTGTAAATTATAAGAAAAGGTACTTCCTCACTATAGTGGATGACTATAGCCGATATGGCTTCGTCTATACCTTAAGAAAAAAGGATGAGGCCTTCCAAAAATTCAAGGAGTTTTACAAAAGAGTAGAAACTCAAAACAACACCCGGATCAAACAAATCATGACCAACAGAGGATCTGAGTTTCTATCTAAGGACTTCTCCCATTGGCTCAGGTCCAAAGGCGTGATTCACTTTACATCATCCCCGTTTTCCGCCTTTCAGAACGGGGTCGTAGAACGACGGAACTCCACGCTCCAAACAATCGTCAGGTGTACCTTAGAGGACGCGGGCATTGGCCAACACTTCTGGTCTGAAGCCCTGGTCTACTCCAACTACACACTTAACAGAACATGGTCCAGTGTGATAGACAAAACACCATATGAGCTCATGTATAACAAGAAGCCCCAGATAGCACACTTACACGTATTCGGCGTAACTGCTGATGTACACATACCCAAACAGTTGCGCAAGAAAGGGGATAAGGTATCCAGAAGACTGAGGTTTATGGGATACGAGCCAGGAACCAAGGGCTTCAGGTTTGTGGACAGCAATAATAGATTTGTGGTATCTAGAACAGCAGCATTCCATGAACAAGCCAACTGGTCCAGAATACACTTAAACGAGGTACCCACCAAGCGAGAGGATAGTCCAATCGAGCAAGCTCAAAACAAAAACGAGACAGTGGGTAGACAGGAAGGGAGCAGGCCCAAGCCCAATCTCCAAGGCATCAAGGTTGAGGGATGGAAAGAGAACCATCCCAAGATAAGTGTCGAATCACTGACACAAAGAGAGGCCAGACATCTGCATGACACTGAGCAGACAGTAACCAGACCGGTCAGGTCAACCAGAAACCAACTGCCAAGAAGGTTAAATGATTACGTGATGCACGTGCACACGAACCACATTACGCCAAACTCCTACGAAGAGGTACTGAGACTACCCCAGGGGGAGAGGGCAAAGTGGGAGTTAGCCATGGCCAAAGAACTGGACAGCCTGAGGAAGCTAGAGGTATACACCCCCACCAAAGTCCCAGAGGGCAAGAACACAATAGGCACCCAATGGATCTTCAAGGTCAAGAACCAAAGCCAAAGCCTATACAAAGCAAGATTAGTTGCCCAGGGGTTTGCTCAAAGGTTTCCGGAGGACTACACAGACACCTATTCGCCCACCGTAAGAACAGAGAGCGTCAAAAGTGCCTTGGTCATCGCATCCCTGCTAGGGCTGGAGGTGCACCAATTCGACGTGCAGACCGCCTACCTGCACGCCAAACTAGACAAAGAGATATACATCAGAGCCCCCCACAGCAAAGAAACCAACAGAGGGGACACCTGGTTACTTCACAAGAGCCTGTACGGGCTAAAGCAATCAGGCAAACGCTGGTACGAATGCCTGGTAGAGGCCCTGAAGTCTATGGGATTCACGGCGACCATAGCCGACAACTGTTTCTTCACCAGGAAAGAGGGGGACTCGCCAGAATACATCCTAGTTTACGTGGATGACATTCTATACATCAGCAAGCACGAAGGAAACCGCAACACCTTCGCCAGCAGGCTGAGCGAGCATTTCACCCTAAAATACCTTGGAAGGATAAACCGGTACCTGGGGGTACAAGTCAACCAAACACCAAAAGGTTTCCAACTGTCACAGAAAGAGAAAATAGAAGAGTTACTCCATAAGTGCAACATGGCAGACGCCAAGGGGTGTGATTCACCCATGCAGACGGACTTCCTAAAAAACATGCATGATGAATCACCCGAATTTGGAGACAACACGCTGTACAGGTCAGTCATAGGCTCCGTCCTGTATATCGCTAACTGGACAAGGCCAGACATTGCTCTATCCGTTAATTTACTGTCCAGGCACGTGAGCAAACCCACCACATACCACTGGGACGCGGTGAAAAGGGTGCTAAGATACCTGAAACAAAGTGTCAATGCATGCTTAACCCTAGAGCCTGAAAAATCCGATGAACCCATCCTCTCATGCTACGCTGATGCTGACTGGGCCGGAGACGCCAAAGGCCGGAAAAGCACATCTGGGTACATATTCTACTTAAATAACAGTCCGGTGCATTGGTACACAGGTAAACAAATCTTGGTGGCAACCTCGACCACTGAAGCCGAGTACATATGCCTCTCCAAAGCCGCCAACAATCTCATCTGGTTCGACGACCTACTCGCCAGCGTGTGGAGAGAACCAGCTTACCCAATAAATATCTACGAGGATAACAAGGCCGCCATAGAAATATCGATGTCCGACGCTGTAAGGCAAAGGTCAAGGCACATAGACATAAAGTATAAACACGTGAGACAGCCCTCCAGAATTGGTTTCATAAAGGCCATACACTGCGATACAGAAGAACAGACCGCAGACATACTCACAAAACCTCTACAAGGCAAACAACACTCACACTTAGTTTCCAAGCTCAACATTCGCCTCAAGGTACCACACAGTCAGTCAAGATTACAGACACAGGTCAGGCATTTAGAGGTGCCTAGGGTCAGCTACAGTTCAGTAGTGCAGGGGTTAACCCAGACACCCACCTGGTCAGCTCCTCCCATAGACCCCTCCTTACCTGAATCCCCGCCCACAGGTATAAAAGGTGGGCACACTCCTCCATGTTGTTTAGTTCCAGATGTAACCAGTGATGATGTGCAGAACCTGTAAATAAAAGAGATATATTTAACCTGATGACTCAAGTCTCTTCATTGGGCCTGATCCATCAATCCTCGTAACACATATTTGCTTGAATAACAATAAAACTGGGTGTTGATTCGGGAGTTCTGGCACAGAACATTTTCTTTGGATGGCTTCTGGCTAAGAATAATTCATTAGTACAAGCAGTGACTGCTTTTCCATAAACCTTCCTGAATTTTGGAGCTTCAATGGAATGGAAACCAGAACATCACTGCTTCTGTTATTTGATTCATATGGGGCATGATAGATTTGGCCATTTGAATCCCACAAGGCTATGCTCAGTACTGGATCTTTCTCTAGTAGTAATTACAAGTGGGCAGTATATGTTTTCCTCACCTTTAAAATACACTATAGGACAGGGGTGGGCAAATGTGGCCCTTTTGCAACCTGTGGACTTCAACTCCCAGAATTCCTGAGACAGCTTGGCCACATTTGCCCACCCCTGCTATAGCACAATGTTTCTCAACTGTGGTGACTTTAAGATCTGTGGACTTCAACTCCCACATTCCCCAGCCAGCTGGGCTTGCTGAGGAACCCTGGGAGTTGAAGCCCACAGATCTTAAAATTGCCAAGGCTGAGAAACACTGCTATAGCGTGTTGGCAGGGAAGCTACCAAATCAGAGGACAATTACCAAATCAGAGGACAACTACACACACCTGAAGGCACATTGGAGAGATAGTTCTTGGTATTTACGTCATAAGGCACCTTATTTTCTTTATTCAGCAAATGGATCTTTGTGATGCTATCAGTAATTTGAAAAGTTGATTTTTTTATTAAAGATGCTTCTTACACTTCACTAAAACTTCATGTAAACCATTTTCAGGACAGGTCCTGACAATCAAATTAAATGCACTGTATACCCAAGTTTCTGGAGCTAACTATTTGCAAAAATTGTGTGCTTGGGTCAGTGTCTTTCATCCCCATCTAGTCCATCCATCAGCAGCACCTATATAGATTTTTTTCCCCACATAGGGAAGCAGGTAATAGTAACTGAAGACTGCAACGAATGAGCGTAAACTTAAATAATCCTTCCATTATTGAAGGGCTCAGTCCAAGAGAAGCCTACTAAAGTGCCAAACCTTGTTTCACCCCTATAAAATTTAATTAAAATCAATAAACAATCTTAGAACAGGCTACCTGAAGACCTTTGGAGACTTTCCCCAGACTATCTCCATTCAGTTTCTTTATGGGAAGTATACAGTTCTTGGAAAATGCCCTTTCATTGGAGGTATATAGTTTCTGGAATTTCATCCTAAATAATCATTACTGCACCCAGATGGTAAACCTTTTTTTCTTTGTTCAGTAGCCTAATCAAGGTATGGATTGTGTGGGTTTATTAGTTTGATTTTTGTAGGTGGTCTTGATGAAAATAACTAAATACTAACTTTATTAGCTGCTGTTGCTTATAGGAAGAACAGAAGAAACAGTGAGTATTTGTCGTGTTAGGTACTGTATCTACTGCAACTAAACATAGCTTGTGAGCTACAGGATAATATGTGTGATTATGCCATTCTTTGTGTTATATTGTTTAAGGTCTCAGAAAAGAATCAATTCAAGTTAGAAGACCCTTTCTTATATCTTCTATGCAGTGTCAGGTTTTACAGGACTGAAAATCTGTGAAAAGGAAACTTGAATAATAGCTAATGACAACTTAGGCATTGTAATAATCAAAATATGATTTATGTTGAACAGCAAGTTAGGGACACAAATAATTGTATTCTGCTTCTCTTGTTCTGTATGGGAATTAAAGACTGTCCAACCTTACATTAATAAATGTCACTGCAGTATTACACTTTCGACACATGCAAGGTTATTCTTTAGAAAGATAATTTAGCCAACATTTGTCAACATAGTTGATTGTTATCTCCAGTCAGAGAAGGTTCATCATTGTTAGCTGAGGTCGATTCATCAGTAAACAAATGACATAGAGCATTGCAGCTTTTCTCATTGCCATTCAATATCAAAAAGCTCTTTCAACCTTGAAGAATAAGGTTAGAAATCGCTCCAAATAAAGAAATTCATTAAATAATAGAATGGTGTTGTACTGAACCTTTCTTTGTACTTTGGTGATATTTTTCAGTGTTTTTGCAAAGGAAGAAGATAAATAAATTCACGAAGTAGAAATTTGTACATGTTTCTTATAGAATGAAGTAGTAAGGGAACTGTATTTAGCTTATATGAAATACAAAACAACTGAGAGGATCTTTACTATTTTGTTGCTGTTACTATATTTCACACAGTAATGCACAAATTCTTTAAAACAAGCTGTCAGGCCTATGAGGTAGATCAGATTAGGTAACTGACTGTATGAGAACTATTTATTTATTTATTTATTTATTTTATTGAATTTCTATACCGCCCTTCTCCCGAAGGACTCAGGGCGGTGTACAGCCAAAAATAAAACCATGACAATATAAAAATTAAAAGCAATTTAAAACAATTTAATAAATTGGCCAAAAAACTCTAATAAAACAACCCATTTAAAATAGTAAAATGTTATTATTATTTAGGCCAGCCCTGCTTGTTGGAATAATAATGTTTTTAAGGCACGACAAAAGGTGCGAAGGTCGTGAATCCTACGAATCTCCGGGGGCAGCTCATTCCAGAGGGTAGGGGCCCCCACAGAGAATGCTCTCCCCCTGGGGGTCGTCAGCCGACATTGCCTAGCGGACGGCACCCGGAGGAGCCCCTCTCTGTGGGAGCGTACCAGTCAATGGGAGGCTATCGGTGGCAGAAGGCGGTCTCGTAAATACCCAGGTCCCAAGCCATGGAGCACTTTAAAGGTGGCAACCAACACCTTGAATTGCACCCAGAAGACCACCAGGAGCCAGTGCAGCTCGCGCAGGAGCAATGTTACATGGGAGCGTCGAGTCGCTCCCATAATTACCCACGCGGCCACATTCTGGACCAGTTGGAGCCTCCAGGTGCTCTTCAAGGGGAGCCCCATGTAGAGAGCGTTACAATAGTCCAGATGGGAGGTGACGAGGGCGTGAGTGACTGTGCATAGGGAGTCCTGGTTCAGAAAGGTCCAGAAACTATACAGTCTATATTGAGATAGACTATCATACAAGAATTTTGTAAGTTCTTCTTCCCCCTCAGTTTCTCACCAAAAGGAGAAATTGGAAGGGAAGTGGCTGAATTACTTTTTTGTAGCATACACAATACATTTTATTGCACTTTCTTGGACCATCAACCATACCTCCTCTAAGATAGGTTGGCAAAGAACAAGGCTGTTTATTCTCCCCTTTGAATAAATAATGTTGAATATATATTAAGGAAAGATGGATTGGAAGATGAGAGTGATTTTAAAATTGAAGGAAGAGACATCGATAACTGTTACGTTGATGACACTCCCAATGGCTAAGAATAAAAATTTTCTGCAAGGTTTAAAACTAGAAATTGAAGAACACAGTGAAAAAATGGAACTACAATGAAATATGAAGAAGACCAAACTAATGACAAAAGGTAGACTAGCAGCCTTAGAATTGATAATGTAGATAGCATATTATTGGATATCTTTTAGGATTAACCATTTAGTATCAACCATCAATACTAAGGAACTTGGTGATCAAGAAATATGCCACAGAATAGCATATTTCTACTGGTTAGAATGCTATGAGATCATGAAGATCTTGGAAATATTCAAATGCCATGTTCTCTCTATGCTTACAAAGATACTATAAGTCCTGGTATTTCCTTTGATACTCTATGGAAGCAAAAGTTAGGCTTTGAAGGAGCAAGATAGGAAGAGTATCGATGTCTTTGGACTTTTTTGCTGGAGAAGACTCTTGACAATGCTGTGGAGAATCAAGAAAACAAGCTGATGGATAATTGAACGAATCAACCAAGAATTCTTATTTGAGACACAAATAATCAGGCTCAAATTATCTTATTTTAGACATATTATATGGAGATCCTAACTATCTGTAAAGGGATCTAGTGCTTGAATGGTGGAAGGAAAGAAGAGAAGAGAAGAAGATGAACAACATCAAGGTGGATAAACTCAGCTACAATTGCCATGTGTGCGCCATTGTGCGCCATTCGGACACCTGAAAGAACAGTTTAGGTATAGAGTGTCATGGAGAAAAATCTATCTATGTGGTCACCCAAAGTTAGAAACGATGGCATGCTATATAATTTGTTTCCAATGTTGGATTTGCTTTAGTCAATACCAATTTTTTTTTCTTTTGGACTTCACATCATATAATTCTGAACACATAGCAATAAATCTAATACAGTAAATTCACAATATACTAACAATTGTTTCTATACTAAAAAACTGATTTTAGAAATTTTAATTATCCAAAAGAAATATACAATTTATTGTCATTTTCTGAATTTAACATTGATCTGAAAAATACTTTTGAGATTTGTTCAGCAGGTCTTTCACTGAAAGAAGAAATGAATAGAAGGTCATATGTTCTTTATGTCTATATTAATTTCATACTACATAACTTCCTCTTGCTTTGTGATGGTTGCCTTCCACTTATCATGATGAAGAAATGATATAATCCATTGAAAAATAATCACATTTAAATATTTGTAACTCTAATACATAAAGCATCTGCTTAACTTTATTATGGATATCATAAGCAGAGTGCGCCAATATTTTAAATGGGTTAAGATAAGGGCAAGGAAATAAATAATGAAATACAGCTCTACATTGATTTATGTCAGCATCATGTGGTATAAAAACCTTGTATAAAGTAATACATTGAACCAGTGGAAAAAAGGGAGTTGTAGAGTATGGTTTCCTAAGTTTTCTAAGCCAAATGCATTCAGACATAGGCTGATATATATTAGAGGTTTATTATTAAGCATAACATTACACAAACATGTTTTCTTCCTTATTTTGTAATCTATGGATAGTGAAAAAAAATTCCCATCTTTTCTACAGCTGGATTTCTTATACATGTGATTAGCATGGAAGAAAAAGAGATAGAATGCATCACAACACAACAAGCATGTTGTATTATGTTGTGCATGATAGATTCATGTATCTTAAAAGTGTACCTTGGGGTTGAGGATCCTT